ACTACTACTACTCGGGTTGATCATCGATTCTGCTCAAGAGAGGGTGGTAAAGGGTAACCGGTTCGGGTTCGGGTTCGACCGCGTGTGCAGTCGAACATGACAGTCGCACCCAATCTAATACAACACACGCTCATCATATCACAGTGCACAGCGCACGCTCACTATGGCACGTAAAGCACATCCGCTGTGGTACAGTACACGTTCAATACCACGCAACACGTACTCAGTGTAATGCAATACGCATTCAATGCCGTACGAGAGTAACGTGTGGAGCTACCTCGTTACTAATACAGTCCTGGATCAATCGTAGCGTGGCACTTTTCTAGAATGAGGCCCACATGGGGATTTCCCTACTCCCCTTGCAGATTTCCAGAGCCCCATAGTCTCTTGGACACAGAACTTTCATGTGGACACAGAAACCAGTTTGTGTGACACAGAGCCTCCCAACAGGCCACACACACCACAGAAACGCCTTATCTTCTCCTGCCCTATCCCCCTCTTCCCCCTCCCCCCCTTTCCTCCTCCTCCTCCTCCTCACCGTTCACATCGCCCTAGGAGGGAGGATGAGGAGGGCCAAGTCGAGGCACTGGCCCCGCTGGCGGCGACTGAAGGCTCTGCGCCTCCGGCGAAGGCGCTCTGGGTGCTGCTGCGGCGCGTAGGCGCCCCCCTCCCTTCGCAAGCGCTGAGGAGAACGAGGAACAGGATTCAGATGATGGGGAGAAGTAGGAGGATGATGGGTACGAGGCATGGGGGAGGAGGATGAGGAGGGGGAGGGGGAGGCGCAGGAGACGAAGGAGCTCGATGAGGAGGAGGTGGATGGGGAAGGGGGCGGGTTTGGGGGAGGAGGGGGAGGTGTGGGGGTAGCGGGAGGAGGACCCCCCGAAGGCATGCCGACGAATAGTACGAATTTCAGAAGGAGGGAGAAGATTAGATGGATGACGGGGAGGACAAGGAGGCTGAGGATAATGACAAGGATGAGTGGGGAGCGGGAGGGGATGGGGATTGGGAGGAGGGGAGAAAGTGGAGGAGGATGAGGAGGAGGAGGAGGAATGGTGAATAGAAGGATGAGGGTCGGGGGGAGGACGAGGGGCGGGGGGGATGTCATGAGCGACAGCTGCAGCCGTAGTGGTAGTGGCACCCATTGTGTCGGTAGCGAACATATTATTGGTAGTGGTAGTGGTCATGTCAGTCGTCGTAGGCGTAGTAGTAGTAGGCGTAGTCTTGTAGAAGCTGCAGTTGCCGTATGATTATCATTCTTATTAGTAGTAGTAGTGGTAGTAGTAGTATGAGTAGTAGTAGTCGCAGTAGCAGTAGTAGTAGTAGTAGTAGTAGTAGTAGTAGTAGTAGTCGTAGTAGTCGTAGTAGTAGTAGTAGTAGTAGTAGTAGTAGTAGTAGTAGTAGTAGTAGTAGTAGTAGTAGTAGTAGTAGTAGTAGTAGTAGTAGTAGTCGTGTAGTAGTAGTAGTAGTAGTAGTAGTAGTAGTAGTAGTAGTAGTCGTAGTAGTAGTAGTAGTAGTAGTCGTAGTAGTAGTAGTAGTAGTAGTAGTAGTAGTAGTAGTAGTAGTCGTAGTAGTAGTCGTAGTCGTAGTAGTAGTTGGAGTTGTAGTAGTGGTTGTAGTAGTAGTAGTAGTAGTAGTAGTAGTAACAGTAGCAGCAGTAGTAGTAGTAGTAGTAGTAGTAGTAGCAGTAGTTTTTGCAGTGTTAGAAAAGTGCATGTCGTTGTATTTCCCCGGCTATCCTATGGTACTGGGCCCTCATTCTGAAGAGAAGGCGCCCCGCGTTGCTCACTCCTAGTAGTAGTAGTAGTAGTAGTAGTAGTAGCAGCAGTAGTAGTAGTAGCAGTAGTAGCAGCAGTAGTAGTAGTAGTAGTAGTAGTAGTAGTAGTAGTAGTAGTAGTAGTAGTGGTAGTAGTAGTGGTAGTAGAGTAGTAGTAGTAGTAGTCGTCGTCGTCGTCGTCGTCGTAGTAGTAGTAGTAGTAGCAGCAGTAGCAGTAGCAATAGTAGTAGTAGTAGTAGTAGTAGTAGTAGTAGTAGCAGTAGTAGTAGTAGTAGTAGTAGTAGTAGTAGTAGTAGTAGTAGGAGTAGTAGTAGTAGTAACAGTAGCAGCAGTAGTAACAGCATCAGTACTTGTACAAGCACGAGGACTCGGACGAGTGCTTTTACCAGTGCCAAGTACCAGTACCACTTCTATTATTACCACTCCTGTTCCTACCACGATTCGATTCGAACTACGACGTCACCAGCACTAGCAGCAGGAGTAGTAGTCGCAGCAGCAGCAGTAGAAAGAGGAAGAGGAGGTGGAGGAAGAGGAGGAAGACTGGGAAGTGGATGATGAGGCTGACTTCCAGTAGCGGAGAATTTGATTGATTCGACACAGCGGGGGCCCCTTCTGCCCTCCTCTCCACTTCCCCTGTCATCATCGTCCTGCTCACCATCATCGTCATCACCATCAGCATTAGCATTATCATTATCAGTATCGTTTTCATTATCGTTACTCTTATCATTATCATCATCATCACTTGGCTTCCGGTGGCGGGGAATCGTCCGAGATGAGTGCGTCCTGGGGCCCTTTCAATCATCCTGCGTCGTGTCATTGACGACGGTCTTCCAATGGCAGCGCCCGAGATCGAACCCTACCAGCCGCGGCCCGCGCCAGCGCGCGGTCAACGACCGCAGCGTCATGGCGCAGCCGCCTGGCGAGGCCGCGGCGGGGGACGGCGACGACGCGGCGCCCAGCATGGACGTTGGCACCTTTCTGGCCTCGGCCGCGGCCGACGGCGAGAGAGCCCCGGCGTCGCCGGAGGTGCTAGCGCAGTGGGAAAAGGACATCGCTGGTAAGGCTTCGGGTTGCGCACAGACAGCTTACCGAGGCAGTCCCAGCTGGCCTCAGCAGGCCCCCCCCCCCAAGCAGTGCAGGGCGGTCTCAGCACTCCAGCCCTGGGGCGCGGAGCGCCCCAGGGGCGCCGCCGGTGGCGGCGCCATGGTGTTGCCACCAGCCCGGGCCACTCGGCAGGCCTGTCGAGGCCAGCTGGGACTACCTTGGGGGGCTATCTCTGCGCAGCCCGAAGCCTTACCAGATATCACTGTGATGCGAGAGAGCATCGGGCTGCTCCTCCTCAACAGGGTGGCGGAGGCGGAGCAGCGGCTCCAGGACGCCACGGTGGAGGCGGACTCCAGAGAGATCAAGTTTGCGGAGGGCGACCACGATATGCGGGGCGGCTTTGCCTTCGTTTCGGCCATCATGGGGCTCATCGTGAGGAACAAACCACGGCACAAACATAAACTTTCGGATCTGCGCGCGAATCCCTTGGATCGGTGCTGTGCCCCCCCTCCCTGGTGCGCTGAGCGCGCGGGGGGCAGCGCCGGAGGCGGCGCCAGTGGGGCCCAGCGCCGGTCCAAGAAATCTGCGCGGACCTCCGAAAGTTTACTGTCGAGAACTTATTCTTAGCGTGTCGTCGCGGCGGCCCCAGCGACACGCTATGCCCTGCGTGCTGATGGCGTGTCGCTCCGCCGCCCCTGGCGCGCTTCGCGCGCCACGGAGGGGGGCCCAGCGCCGATCTAAGAAATCCGCGCGGACTATTTATGTTCATGTTGTTGTTTCTTCCTCCATCGTCAACGGCCTCGCGTCCATGGAGAACGACCAGCTCGACACGGTCCTGCAGAAGGTGTGGGCCGCGGACAAGTTGCTGGAGGCAGAAGCGCAATAATACAATATATCATGTACATATTGTGCACTTGATACAAGCACGCATAAGGAACACATGACATACCAAACTATGCATAGGCCAACGCATACACACATGCCATTATCCATGCAACCAACACTCGAATCACACATAGATCAGCTAATACATGAGAAACAAGCTGCTGGAGGCGGACGGGGACTGGGCAGGCAAGACCGTGCTCCGGGGTCTGTGCCTCCTCGTGGCAGGCGTGGTCACCATCATGCAGGGGACCTCAGAGGAGGAAAAGGTATCGCTACCGCCACCCTGTCCCTGTTTCCGCCTTTTTGGGCCTCCTGTGGGCATGCTCGGCCCTTTGCTGCACTGATACGCCCGTCTTGAAACGCAACATGTGCGATGTTCAAAACGTCCGTGTTGACACGTTGCGTGTTGGCTCGGCGTGTTAGCCCACGTTTTGGCGAACGCATCGCGCCAGACCTACGTGTTCAGTCTGCGTATGGAGCTCCGTGTCATCATGTTACGGGTTGCGTGTTGCGTGTCGGGGCAGCTAAGGCTCGACTTTAACGCTCCCGTCGACCTCGCGAGTGGCGTTCAGGTCAGTACCGTCAACGATTTCTTCAAACCTGGCAGCCCGCTCGGCCATGCGCTTTCTGTTGCGTTCTTGCACTTGGCTGCCGCGCAGGGCCAGCCGCGCCCAATCGACGCAAGAGTTCCATTCGTCAGAAGACGATTCGATATATAGAGTTGAGCTCTCCATGGCACGTGAGGCGCTCGTCGCCACGGCAGGATTGGCCCCGGGGTTTTGGCCAGAAGGCACCCCGGGAGAGGTCCGGGGAGTCGCGGCATCGGCACCTCTTGTTCTCCCCAGGACCGCCGCCCGCGGCGTCTGGCACGTGCTTCGCTCGTGGCTCTTCCTGCGGCACCTGGAGTCCAGCGGCCTGAACTATTCCGAAGAAAGGACACGGGCGCCAGCACACGGTCGGGCACTTTGGGCTCGGCGTGCCGCGCCGCCGGCCATGGCCCGCCGTGCTTCCGCGCGGCACGCTGACCGCGTCCCGGCCCCCAGGCGTCAACCTCCCGAGCTTTTCCTGGCCTCCCGCCCCGCGGCGCGGAGCGAGGCGCCGTCCGGTCGCAGGGGGCAGCGTGGCACCGGGGTCGCCGCGCGACACGCTGAGCAAGCACCCGCGACCGTGAACCTTCGGAGCTCCGAAAGTTTGTGCTCGTGCCAATCTTCCTTCTTCTGGCTATCAGGGGCACGAGCGGGACTGCGTGAGGTCGACGGCGCTGCTCGCCCTCGGAGTCTTCAACCTGTTCACGTCGATGCTCCCCCCACAGGTCAGGGGCATCCTTAGAGGGGGTCAGGCTCAGGGGGGGTGCATCGAGCCGCTAAGCGCCCATTCATCTCCGAGAGGGCCTGATAGCCCACCCCGTCCAAGAACGTGCGGATTCGCTATCGGGGGCCTATCGCCGATCTATCGGCGATGCTTGAGCTGGTCCCCCCTCTAACGTTGCCCCTCAACAGGCCATGTCGGCGGCCGGCTGGTTCACAGGCTTCAAGGGCGGCAGGGACCAGGCCATGGTCCACTTGCGGCTCTGCTGGGAGGAGCAGGGGATCCTTGCGCCGATCGCGGGCCTCGTGCTCATAGGCTGGGCGGTGGACGTTAGCAGCTTCCTCGGCGAGCTGCGTTCTGAGCGCGAGCCGAAGCACAGGGAGGCCCGCAGGATACTCGACTGGGCGGCCGAGAAGTACCCAGGGGCGTTCTTCTACGAGGGGCTCGAGTGCAGCTACCTGTGCGCCCGCAGGGACCTGCCGGCCGCGGCGCAGCAGCTGGAGCGGGTGCGTCGGATGTTCGTCTTTCGGACCCTCCTGGGGGGCCCACCTGGCGGATCTGTTCGGCTTGAGTTCGACTCTAGTTCGGCTCTGGTTCGACTCCAGCTCGAGTCGAGCTCGATTCTGGTTCGGCTCTAGTCCGGCTCTAGTCCGACTCAAGTCGACGGACGTTCGACGCAGCATCGATGCATGGGTGAAGCGAGTGCTTGGAAGGTCCCCAGAGCGAGCATCTGAGGTGAAGGGCTCGGTGCAGGAGCTGCCGGCGTTCCTCTTCGTCGTGCACCTGCGCAGGGCCGTAACGCTCGCCGCCTGCTTCGACTGGGGCGCGGCGGGGGGCGCTTACGCCGCCGCCGTGGAGGTGCACAGGGCCAAGGGCCGGCGGGCGCTGTGCCCGGCGCTGGCGCTCAACTCGCACCTGTGCTACGTCGCCGCCGGGGACCAGGAGAAGGCCGCGGGAATGCTGGAGCTGATGGGCCAATTGTCCACCACCACTCTACCATACGTAGGACGGGGGAGAAGAGAGGATGGGGAGATCCTTCTCCTCCTGCTCTTCCTCCTTCTCCTTCTCCTCCTCCTCCTCCTCCTGCTCTTCCTCCTCCTCCTTTTCCTCCTCCCTCTCCTACCTATGGTAGTGGTGGTGGAAAATCGGCCCAGCAGGAGCTGTGCCTGTCCTACGAGAAGGAAAAGAAGAAGTGGTCCCCGATAGACAAGAACTCCCTGGCGTCGGCGAGGCTCGCCTGCGGGGCCAGCCCTGCGCCGGGCACCCCGAAGGCCGACGCCCAGGAGCCGCCAGCGGAAGACAGCGCGGCCGGGGCGGAGCAGCTGCCGTGGCGCCCGCGGCTGCTGCTCTACCTGAAGATGTGCGTCGTGCACCGCGTGGTCGACTTCATGTCCCCGGAGCAGGCCGAGGCGTTCCTCGGCAAGGTCCGGCTGCGCGTGTCAGCCACGCGCAGAGGCGGGCCCGGAGGAGGGGGGGAGGCTTCTCTCAGAAGCACCCCTGCTTCTTGGCAGGCGCGGGCCTCGTCTCTGGACGCAGGACCGGCGCCTTCTAAGAAGCAGCCTCCTTCTACTTGAGGAGACTCCCCCCCCCCCTGCCCCCGGGTGCGCGCCGTCAAGCGTGGAGCACGACCCCTCGCCGGAGTGACCCTGCGCGCGGCTCTCGGGGTGTGCTTCGGGGCCAGCCCCCCCCTGCCCCCTGGTGCGCGCCGTCAAGCGTGGAGCACGACCCCTCGCCGGAGCGACCCTGCGCGCGGCTCTCGGGGTGTGCTTCGGGGCCAGGTCCTAGCACGCAGGCCGCTGCTGCCGCGCCGCTCGCAGCGCAGCGGCCGGCAAGCGGCACACCGGAGGTCGCTCTTGCACTGCCTGGGGTCGATGACGACGACGACGACGACGACGACGACGACGACGACGACGACGACGACGACGACGACGACGATGATCTTCATCGTCATCGTCATCGTCGACCGTCATTGTCGTCGTCGTCATCGTCATCGTCATCGTCATGGTCACCTTCTGTCATCCTGCGTGCAGCCGCCAGGTCCGCTGCGAGACGGACGCCTGCGAGGACGCCGACAGCCGCTGCGTGGGCCTGTGGATCCAGGCCGAGGCCATGCGGCAGAGCGAGCGCTGGGAGGAGGCACTGGCGCTCGCCCAGGCGTGCCTGCAGCTGCGGCCGGAGCTCGGCGCGGCGGGCCGCAAGAGCGGAGCGCTGCAGTTCACGAAGCTGATCGAGGGGTACGCGCGCTTCGCGCAGGGCCGGCCGGCGGAGGCGAGGGAGGCGCTGTCGCAGCTGCAGCAGCTCGGGGGCGACCACGGCTTCCCGAAGCAGGTGGAGTTCAAGGCGACGCACCTCCGGAGGCTGGTGGGGGCCGAGTTCGAGAACAGCTACATGGAGGTCAGCGTGGCCGCGCGGAGCAAGGCGCGCCTCGTCGTGGAGGTCCCCGACGGGACGGCCGCCGTGGAGTGGGACTGGCTGCTGAAGGACTTCACCATAGGCTGGCATCGTCGAACCCATCCCCATCCCCGCTGGGCCATGATGTCTCAGCCCCGTTGGCCCAGCCTCCTAGGTGGGGATAGGCCCCGCGAACCCCCAAGGAACAGACACATCCCCATCTGGGTGGGTAAGTCGGCCACTGTGGCCAAGGCCACGCCAGTGGGGATAGAGATCGGTGAAACGATGCTCAATAGGCTTTGTCGCCACCGCGAGGGGCGCTGAGGCCAAGGAGCTGCAGCGCGTGGAGAAGTACGCCGCCGAGGACGGGCCCTGCACCGGCAGCTGGGAGGGGACCGGCCCAGCCGTGCTCGAGCTGACTTTCGACAACTCCTTCAGCGTGATGCGGGGCAAGAAGGTCTCCGTCCGGCTCCAACCGGCGGGGCTGAGGGTGGCGCGCGACGGCGGATAGCGTGCAGGCCGTGGGCGCACGCCCTCGCGCCGGGGCCAGACGTCGGCGCGGCTCGGGTGCACGCGGATTGAGTGTGCGTGCGCCGCGCGATGGTCTGGGCATTCCAGATGGGGTCCGAGTAGATGGGGTCGCAGGATCGCGCCGCATCGCCGATGCATCGGCGATGCGGCTCGATGCGGCTTCTGCCATCTCCTCCTGCTTCTCCTCCTCCACCTCCGCCTCCTCCTCCTCCTCCTCCTCCTCCTCCTCCTCCTCCTCCTCCTCCTCCTCCCCCTCCTCCTCCTCTTCCTCCTCCTCCTCCTCCTCCTCCTCCTCTTCCTCCCCCTCCTCCTCCTCCTCCTCCTTTTGTTCCTCCTCCTTCACCTCCTCCAATGAGCAAAGCATTCCGTTTTCTGATTGCGCATGATACGATGAGGCCGCTTTTGGGACCCAGGTCCGCTGGGGCACGTCGTCGGCGGACAGTCGGGGAACAAAAACAACGCAAAGGCAAGTGATGGGTGGGCGGGGTTGGATGTCAGATCTGGCGCGCTGTTGGCTGGCATGACCTCCCTCCCCTTCCCCCCTATCGCCCCTCCCCCCCCCTTCTAGTGCCCCGCCAGGTCCGCCATGCCCGACGGCGGAGACAGAAACGGCGGCGAAATGGGAAGGGATTGGTGGGAGGGGCAATATGTCAGATACGTCGCAAGCCCATTGACTCCCCCCCCTCCCCCTCCGCCGTCCGAGTCCCCCTCCCACCTAAAACTCCGACGTCGTGATTTTTTCGCATCGTGGGCCCCCTGATGTCGGGACCCCTTCCCCGGCACCGGCTTTTCATCCCGAGTCGTCCCTTGACGTTCCCGGGGGGTGATGCCATGGCCAAAAAGCGTCAGCCGTGATTTTCTTACCGCGAGAGGTGGGAGCATTGCCCCTCCTCCCTTTTTCGGCAGCGAGCGAGGGGGGAAATGAGAAAGAGAAGGCCTTCTCAGAAGGCGGCGGGGCTTCTCAGAAGGCCCCCGGCCTTCTCAGAGGTTTTCTGTGTCGTCGGGGAAGGCTAAGAAAATTTCCCAGCTTTCTGAGAAGGCCCGCCCCTTCTCACTTCCCCCCCAGGCTCGCCGCCGACACTTCCCTCTCCCCCCCCCCGGTCCGAGGAGGCCTGCGCTGTGGACGCGGCCTTCTTCAGCCCGGAGGGCTCCAAGGAGGGGTCGCGCGAGGCAGAGGGGGTGAGGCTGGCCCAATGGCCTCGACGTCCCCACGATTCGGAGGACGATTGACCCGCCCTCTCGCCATGGACGGGAGGGGGAGTGGGCCAACTTCCCTGGCCTCCTTCCTCCTCCCTCCTCCTTCTTCCTCCCTCCTCCTCCTCCTCCTCCTCCTCCTCCTGTTCCTCCTCCTCCTCCTCCTCCTCCTCCTCCTTCCTCCTCCTGCCTCCTTCTCCCGCCTGCTCCTCCCGCCTTCTCCTTCCTCCTCCTTCCTCCTTTTTCTCCTCTTCCTCCTCCTTCCTCCCTTTTCCCGCCTCCTTCTCCTCCATCTTCTTCTCCTCCTCCTTCTCCTCCTTCCTCTTCCCGCCTCCTCTTCCCGCCTCTTCCTCTGGTCTTCTCCTCCTTCCTCCTCCTTTCTCCTCGTCCTTCTTCTCCTCCTCCCTCCTCCTTTCTCACTCCTAATCCCTCCTCATTCCTTTCTCAAACTCCTTCTCTTCCTCTGCTGCGGCTTCTCCCACCTTCCCTTCTTATCCTCCTGTCGTACCTCATATGGAAGAGGAGTAGGAGGACTGGGAAATGATGGTGATGATGATGATGATGATGATGATGATGATGATGATGATGATGATGATGATGATGATGATGATGATGATGATGATGATCATGATGATGATGATGCTGATGATGCTGATGCTGATGCTGATGCTGATGCTGATGCTGATGATGCTGATTATGCTGATGCTGCTGATTATGCTGATGATGCTGATGATGATGACGATGATGATGATGATGGTGGTGGTGGTGATGATGGCGGTGGAAGTGATGATGCTGCTGATGATGATGGTTGTGATGGTAATGGTGATGGTGCAATTGGCGATGATGATGAAGAAGACGACGACGATGAGAACGACGACGATGACGACGACGACGATGATGATGATGATGATGATGATGATGATGTTGATGATGATGATGATTATGATGATGGTGGTGGTGGTAGTAGTGGTGGTGGTGGTGATGATGACGACATTGGTGATGACGACGGTCATGAAGCTGATGATGATGACGACGATGATGACGACGACTACGACGATCACGATCCATGATGCTGGTTATGATGATGGTGGTGGTTGTGATGATGATGTTTCTGCCAATGTTGACGACGATGAGGAGGGTGACGATGTTGCTGATGAGGCTGCTGATGATGCTGATGCTGCTGATGATGATGCTGATGATGATGTTGTTGATGATGATGATCATGATGATGATGATGATGATGATGATGATGATGATGATGATGATGATGATGATGATGATGATGATGATGATGATGATGATGATTATGAAAGTGCGCCACTGGAGGACCCTGTAATTGAAATGAGGGGGGGGTCGGACCCCCCCCCTTCAAAGGGGGGGGGTGAGATTTTCGAGCCCCCGCCCCCCCCCCTCCCCCTTACGGGGGGGGGGTCCGAACCCTTCCCCCCCCTCCTCCTTTGAAGGGGGGGGGTGGGGTTCCGGACCCCCCCCCCTCCCACTGGGCGCTGGAAACGGGAGGGGGTTCGACCCCCCCCCCTCTCCCCTTTGCGCCAGAACGAGAGCCAGGGAAAGGGCCTCTCCCGCTGCTCCGTTCTGCGCCGGGGAAGGTGGGTAGGGAGTATGGAGTAGGGAATAGTGAGTATTGAGTAGTGAATAGTGAGTAGTGAGTAGAAAATAGCTAGTAGTGAGTAGTGAGCAGTGAGTAGTGAGTAGTGAGTTGTGGGTAGTGAGTAGTGAGTAGTAGTGAGTAGTGAGTACTGAGTTGTGAGTAGTGAGTAGTGAGTAGTGAGTAGCGAGTAGTGAGTAAGGAGTAGCACGATGTGAGTAATGAGTAGTGAGTACTCAGTAGGGAGTAGGGAGTAGTGAGTAGTGAGTAGGGGGTAGTGAGTAGTCGGTGGTGAGTAGTGAGTAGTGGGTAGTGGGTAGTGCGTAGTGAGGAGTGAGTTAGTGAGAAGAGAGTAGTGAATAGTGAGTAGTGAGTAGTGAGCACTGCGTAGTGAGTAGTGAGTAGCGGGTAGGGAGTAGTGAGTAGGGAGTAGTGAGTAGTGAGTAGTGAACAATGGGAAGTGAGTAGTGAGTAGTAAGTAGTGAGTGGTTAGTGAATAGTGGGTAGTGGGTAGTGGGTAGTGAGAAGTGAGTAGCGAGTATGGAGTAGCGAGTAGAGAGTATTGAGAAACGAGTGGTGGGTAGTTAGTAGTGAGTAGTGAGTAGGGAGTAGGCAGTATTGAGTAGTGAGTAGTGAGTAGCGAGTAGGGAGTAGCGAGTAGTGAGTAGTGAGTAGTTAGTAAGTAGTGAGTAGTGGGTATTGAGTAGTGTATAATATGATGTGGGCAGTGTGTAGCGAGTAGTTGGTAGTGAGTAGTGAGTAGTGAGTAGTGAGTGGTGAGTAATGAGTAGAGAATGGTGAGTAGTGTGTTGTGATTTGGGAGTAGTGAGTAGTGAACAGTTAGTAGTGAGTAGTGGGTAGTGGGTAGTGAGTAGTTCGTATCGAGTACTGTTTGGGGCTAGGGTCAGGGGTTGGGCTTAGGGTCTGGGGTTCGGGTGAGGATTAGGATTGGGGGTGGGAGGGGGGGGAGCGGGTTCTGGAGTCAGGGGGCGGCGTGGCGAAAGGGGGGGGTGGTGATTCGAATCTCGAGCCCAAGGGGGGGGGGAGGGTTCGGACCCCCCCCCCTTTTGAAAGGTCGGGGGGGGAAGGGGTTCCCCGACGACGGACCGGGAAAAGGGGGGGGGCGGGGGTCCCCGACGACGGACCGGGAAAGGGGGGGGGGTCCTGACGACGGATCGGGGAAAGGCGGGGGGGTCCCCCCCCACTGGGGGCATCCAGCGGCGCGCCCTCGAATGCTGATGATGAGGATGATGATGCTGATGATGCTGATGATGTTGGTGACGATGATGATGGTGCTGATGATGATAATGATGATGATTATGGTGATGATGCTGGTGATGATGTTGGTGATGATGCTGATGATTATGCGGATGATGGTGCTGGTGGTGATGCTGCTGAGCATGGTACTGCTGATGTTTGTTATTATGCCCATGATGATGGTAATGCTGATGAGGCTGATGATGATAATTCTGGTGATGGTGATGGTGATGACGATGCTGATGATGACGATGATGCTGATGATGGTTGCCGCGATGATGAGGATGCTGATGATGATCGTGATTTTGCAGCTGCTGGTGGTGATGATGAGAATGATGGCAATGGCAATGCTGCGTGATGACAACGATGGTGACGAGATCACGATTACAACGGTGACAGTGACGATGCGAATGGCGATGACAGTGATATAGAGCATGTGTCACACGCGACAGCGCGCCATTCGCTGCCGTTTGACCTCTGGGGGCCCCTTTTGCCACTGCGCAAGAACGTATCATAATCACACTGGCAGCGGAGCTGCAACGCGATCCCCGTATCGTGCCACTGCGCGCTCGTCTTTCCAGGGAGAGCAATCGACGTAACTTGCTGGGCCTTTTCCCTCACTAGGGGGCTGCCTTGCCTTGCCTTGCCGCCATGGCATTGCCTTCCCTTCGCTATCGGTCGAGCGCCGACGCGCTGACACGATCGGGGGCGAAGAGTGGCTCTTACATCTACGGTGGCACGGTGAACCACTTCCACGAATGGGAATCTCGCACGAGGATGCGCACGAGTGCCGCCTTGGCTTCAATAGACTCCAAGACGGGAGAACCCCAGCAGCATGTTACCACCTCAACTATCAACGAGGTCGTAGAGGGCCTCAGAGGCGACGCGTTCGATATTTCCATGGATTTCGGTAAAACACGCTT